TGTGATGAGTATGAGTTACTCGTGCGTAAACTGGTGCCTCTCTAGGCTAATTTGCCTTGTTAAACCTTTCTGACTGCACAGCCCTTTCTCATGGTGACTGCCTCAGTCGCTGGCAGAATCCGTCAGTGGGCGTTTCTTGAACCTCTTCCAACATAAAAGTTGTTTGACACCCAGTCTCCTCCTCCTCTCACTGCGCGGGAGTCTTCTGCGCAGGGAGGGTGTGGGTAGTGGAGGACCTGTCCCCTCCTCACTGAGTTCCAGTGAAGAGTCCTGGAGCCCTCTCTCCGATTCCCCCATCTGCCCCCCTTTATCCCTGGTGTTGCGCTTAAATGCCTCTCCCTCAACGGAGCTGTTTCTCCCCCTGCTGCTGGGTCCTTCGCCAGCATCATCTAGGAGCCTCCCCTTCGCCTCTCGCTCCGATGTCAGTTCCCTGACAGGCAGCTTGCAAATTCTGTGAGAAACATGGCAAGGGGGACTGGCTGGAAAAATTGACAAAGATCAATGGAATAAAATATGGACACCTTTAAAACCACCTTGGTCCACATTCAGGAGGCAAAATTATTTTACAATTGCATTGGACCCCAGTAAGGCTATCCTGTATCACACAATCTGTGTCTGCACCCCAACCAGCTGTGGTAGAAAAGCAGTAGCTGGCATAATTACAAAGCAGGTAAAACTTTTGCCATTGTCTTCCTGCTTTGCTTTGCTATTGCTCCTCCCTGAAGGAAGAAGAGGGTCAGACCATCCCTGGGGAAACCTGGAGCTATGCACCACTGATCTGCTGGCCTTGACACCAGGTAGGAGGATAAATTCCCAAGCAAGCATGTCTTCGTTCTGCACCCCCACCAGAAGTTCCTCCAAGTTTTTTTTAACCCACTTCAAAGATGGTTTCCATTTCATTCTTATGTGGTTCTTCCTTCCTTTTATTTTTAAAGGAAAAACTCCATCTTGCAACATTTGCACAGAGACACTGCTGCACTAAAGCAGCCAGGTGAAAACATTGATTCAGCCCAAGTAGTCCTGCCCGACCCACCCATGAGGCAAGGTGAGGCGACTGCCTCAGGCAGCAGGATTCACAGGGGCAGCAGTTCCCAATGTAGGCATTTACCGTATTTTTCGCACCATAGGGTGCACCGGACCATAGGGCGCACCCAGTTTTTAGGGGGGGGGAATCAAGGAAAAAAATATTTTTCCCCCCCCAGCCCCAAAGAGCAGCGTACAGGCTGCACACAACCTCTCCCTGCCAGAGGGGTTGTGCGCAGCTATGGAAGAAGGCAAGGCAGCAAGCGGGATGGATCCCGCTCGCTGTTTTGGCTTCCCCTTTAGCCCCGTGCAGCCTCTCCTTGCGGAGGGGTTGCGCGCAGCTATGGAAGAAGGCAAGGCAGCAAGCGGGATGGATCCCGCTCGCTGTTTTGCCTTCCCCTTTAGCCCGTGCAGCCTCTCCTTGCCGGGAGAGGCTGCGTGGGGCTAAAGAAGCCATAGCCCCGTGCAGCCTCTCCTTGCGGAGGGGTTGCGCGCAGCTATGGAAGAAGGCAAGGCAGCGAGCGGGATGGATCCCGCTCGCTGTTTTGCCTTCCCCTTTAGCCCCATGCAGCCTCTCCTTGCCGGGAGAGGCTGCGTGGGGCTAAAGAAGCCATAGCCCCGTGCAGCCTCTCCTTGCGGAGGGGTTGCGCGCAGCTATGGAAGAAGGCAAGGCAGCGAGCGGGATCCATCCCGCTCGCTGCTTTGGCTTCCCCTTTAGCCCCGTGCAGCCTCTCCTTGCCGGAGGGGTTGCGCGCAGCTATGGAAGCAGGCAAGGCAGCGAGCGGGATCCATCCCGCTCGCTGTTTTGGCTTCCCCTTTAGCCCCGTGCAGCCTCTCCTTGCTGGGAGACGCTGCGCAGGGCTAAGAAGCCATAGCCCCGTGCAGCCTCTCCCTGCCGGAGGGGTTGCGCGCGGCTATGGCACAAGCCTGCATTCGCTCTATAGGACGCACACACATTTCCTCTCAATTTTTGGAGAGGAAAAACTGCGTCCAATAGAGCAAAAAATACGGTACTCCCCTCTTGTTCCTGATGTGGATCTTCACTCACCCCTTCTTCCCTGGTGGGGAGCCATTTTGTGGTTTGCCTCGGGTGTCAAAATGTCTTGGGCCAGCCCTGCAAGTTGTGCTGATACAGGTGCCCTTATTTGGAAACGAGGACATCTGTACAGAGAAGATGAGGACATGTGGGGGAGGGAATTCAGGAAAAAGGGCAAGTAAATCCTATTAAAGTAGCCGAACATGTGGGCCTGACGCCTGTGAAAATGCCTCATGTAGAAAAATGGAGCTCATTGGAAAGAACTGATCACTAATAGCTGCCAACTCCTGCTTTCCCAATTGTGGTAAAGACATTCAGTTGAAAAAGAAATCTGCTCAATACAGCTACTTTATTTCCAAGTTACTCTCGAGTTTCAAAACAAAATAACATTTCCTAAAAATTCAAAGCAGTCAGAGTGGTTTCTCCAGTCCCTTCCAACAGACTCTGCCTATTTGCATTTCCTTTTCAAGGTACGTCAGTGAACAGAGGCAGCCCAGTGGAAGACAGACTCAGTATAACACGACCCCAGCGAATGAAATATATAATTAGTGGTTTCTGCCCTAGGCCCTTGCTGAAGGCACAGGATCTTGGGTTGTCAGTTAAGTATGTGGCCACTTCACACTTCAGAATTACAGTCCAGCCTTTAATCTGGCTGCTTGCTGAAGCATGTCAACATGCCTTTCAAGCCTTTGATACAATGAGGAAGTGGCTCTCATTACAGCACTTGTGGAAAAGCAAGGGCTTAGGTAATCCCTGCAGGTTTCCAATGCAGAATATTTGAACACGAGAGATATGTTTGCACAGGGAATCTGTGCACAGGCAAAGCACCAAACATCCCCTGCTTTTGTTTCCTAGTGGCAATAAATGGTTGAAGTCCCTGAGATGCTCCTAGAAATTTGGTTATCTATCCAATTCACACTTCCCAAAATGGTGCATCTATCCTTCAAATTTCTGATATCTGAATTTTGCAATGCAGTTTTCCCATCAAAAAAATGTGCACAGAATGCATATATCAGTGAAAACAACAGGTGAAAATAATATTAGGGTAAATTGCTTGCAAAAATGTGTATATTAAGAGAAATGTGCACTTAAGTGCTGACCAATGTCCACAAGGACTTCCAAATATATCACTAAGTGATGCAGATATGAACTTAAGGACTGGAAAAACTAGAAACTGAAACCAATAGATTTATCCATGCCTAGATACTCCAAGAGATAGCCATCTAGGTTGGAATTGCAGAAGTTTTCAAGCATAGGGCACATACAATTGCATAATGGAGAAGTACTTCCTCTGTTACTGAAATAGTCACATTCGGGGGTAGCCTTCATCCAGAAATGAAATATCTGTGGAATGGAATGTAACTTTGCTAGTCAAACTTCCAAATGCCCCCAACTCTATCTCCTTCACTCATCACAGGCATTTCTTACAGAGAAAGCAGCTCAAAAGCTCACATCTAAGTTCTGTAGTAAAAGAAATATGCAAAGAAGTAACTGGTGTGTGTGTGTGTTGATGAATGGGCCATAGGGTCTGAGGCAGGATGGCTCCAAATTTCAGTCTCTGGGCTACAATAGCAGGAGTTCCCTGTCTACTGTCCTCAGTGACCAACTTCCTACTGGGCTTCCTATAGGCATCCGACTGGTCATTGTGGAAAATAAGATTCTGGACTAGGGCTCTTCTTAGGTTCTTAGGATCTACATATGTTTATCAAAAAGAAGTTCTGACTGCTTAGGAAATGAATATAAGTGGGTGTGAAATCTGCATTAGTTGTGGGTGAGAGGGGGGAGATTAGGAGAGGAACAAGTCCATAGTGTTATCCGATAGCAGAAACATATAATCAGAGCAGTGATGTGGTACAGCTCTTTCTGGGCTGAGCTACTTCAGATGACAGGTGGGTACTGCATAGTTGAGTGTTCTGCCATATGAAACAGCTCCCCAGACATACAAAGCTAGGTGGTTAGGCTAGAGCCTTCCTCCTTGATATAACAGTTTTGTTTATCCAGAGAGTTTGTTATCTGGGGAACTCACACAGGCAGGGCAAAACAGAACTGCCCAGCAAAAGCGGCACTCCATGCCTGCTCTGTGTGTTTCAGCTCTAACACCTATAATCAAATTCCTCCTACTGATTTCAGCATTTCATCAAATTGCGCTAACTTTTCTAGGTAAGAGAGCATAAGGTTTATAATTTCACTGAAATTTGTTTCCTAGGTGATGCAGTTTCAAGGCTCTGAGTGTCCTTTAGAAGCAAACTACCCTCATTGGCAGGGCAGCAGAGTGTTGCATTCTGGTTTTTTTTCAAGGATTCTGGTCGCTAGGATCGCACTTCAGCATAATTTTTATCCCAAGCCCCTTCTTGGTGGCCTCAAAAGCCTCCATAGCTTTTTCCAAAGGAAAGCGATGTGTCACCAGTGGTTGGACGTTCACTTTTTTTGATGCAAGCATAGCAATTGCCATAGGCCACCTGCAAGAAAAGAGAAGGAAGGTATTTGCAAAAGCACCAAGTTTCAAGTAGCCTCTTGCGAAACAAATGGAGAGACAGAAGGACAGCAGCAGCTGGTAGTGTCAAGCACCAGGACCAGCTAAACATGCCATGCCATTGAATTCCCTGTTGCCTCGATGGTTTACTTGTTTTAATTTTATTCATTCTACGAAAACTTCTATAAGAATGTTCTGCTCAGGAATTCTAAGAGACCAAAAAGACAATGCAGTATTCAAAGGCTGAGCCAGCCATCTTGATTCAGAATGGTGTTCAGTTGTATCCAATCAGAGATGAAAACCTCCTCCTTGATCTCAGGAACCATCATGCAGAATTTGGTGACTACATCTAAAGAGGTGTTGAAATGCACAGCCAACGGACAACTTTCCAAAATGGAAAGTAGGAACATAGTTTGGTTTCTATGGAGACATCTTAATGTCAGAGGGTCAAGTGATTAATTGTAAGAAGCAAAGGCATTCTCTAACAACAGTTCACATCATTTTTAAAGTCACTAGCTGGTTCACTATTTTCTCCTCCTCCTTTTTAACTTTGTAAGCTCAGGCACTAGATTGAATGCCTTTATAGGTGTTACCATATTTTTTTCACATTGAGCTGCATGCCACATTTGTATTAGCATTGTACAATGAATTATGTTTGGTTCCTATTCAAACTTATCTTCTCATTTGCTTCCTGCTCACACCACCATGATAAAAGAGCTACAGGAGGCATGTTTCTTTAGTTATGAGATTTGTTTGATGAACTAACTCCTCTCTGTTGTTCGCAGTTATAAACTGAGCAGACTCCTGTGGCTCTGGAATGCCAACTTTTATAAAACTGCATCCATTACTTTCACTGCAGTGGTACCTCGGGTTAAGTACTTAATTCGTTCTGGAGGTCTGTTCTTAACCTGAAACTGTTCTTATCCTGAAGCACCACTTTAGCTAATGGGGCCTCCTGCTGCCACCGGAGCACGATTTCTGTTCTCATCCTGAAGCAAAGTTCTTAACCCGAGGTACTATTTCTGGGTTAGCGGAGTTTGTAACCTGAAGCGTATGTAACCCGAGGTACCACTGTACTTGTCTCCTGAGTTTTCATTCATATTTTTTTAAGGTTATGCTCTAGTGTGACTCTGGTTCCCCAATACAGCATTAATTACAAACGCTGCGTTGGCCCATCCATTATTTGTCTGCAAACCCCCAACCACAAAATGTTTTATATATGTATGGAAGCAAGCAATGTTGCATGTAAGAATAGATAGAAGAATGAACTATAAATTAGGAGGAAATGACAATGAAAACATGGTGAGCTAGCTATTGACACAAACAAACTTTGCACCACAGTTCTGAGCGCTATGGAAAAAAACTTTCATCAGCCTTTCCTGCTCTTCAAAAGTGCATATTTTATCACTATGAGGACCCACCACAAAAGGAACGGGAAAACCACACTTACAGATTGTACCCTAACTGCTTCCATGACTAACCCCCCCCCAACAAAAACCTAATGTGTAGAAATGCCCTTAAAGAAATAGTTTCAAATAATGAAAATAAAACACGTAGCAATTTCTTCTTCTCTAAGCTCCTCTAGATCATTTTTTTAAATTACAGTTTTCCAAATATAAATACATTCCAATAGAATGCACGCTCCTCATCACAGATTTGTGACAGCTATAAACCAGGGGTGGGGAAGCCATGACCCCCTAGATCCTGTTGGGACTCTGTCATTCCCAGCCAGCAGGGCCAATGGGGAGGGATGATGGAAGCTGCAGTTGAACAAGTTCTGGGAGGCCCCAGACTCCAAGCCCATCTGCAAACTATAAAGTTGCACCCAGTTTTAACTCTGTGCTGTGGATAAGATCCTCATTTTCTTCTCTCCCAGCACTCTGGGCCAAATGCTTAGGGAGACACTGGAGATATGCAAGCCTATCTCATGTGTAGCTGTTAAAGAACAGCTGATAGTGAGGGGAACAACTTACAAATGGGGAAAGAGCACAGAGGGAAATGGTTAAAACTCTCCTTCCCTTGAATGCGCTCCTGATCCAAATTCAAGCACTTTCCCCAGTGGCTGTTTAAATAACAACAACAACCACCAGAAGACTCTTTTACAAATGTCCAACGCCTTGGCCCTCTGTTGCTCACTGGAGGGATAAGGGTGGCTCTAAATCTCTTATACAGATTTCACTGGCTAGCCCTATCTGAACTCGCACTGACACTGCTTAAATATTCTGCAAAGCAGTTTATGTGCTACATATTCATCCTTATGTGAGGCTCTGTGTCAAAATCTATCTTTCACAAACGAGGCAAGTTAAAAAAAGGAATGGAAATGTTTTGAAGATTATATGTTAAAATATTGTTCTAAGAAAGATATGCTAATATGCCTAGAATAAAAATGTAAAGTATATCTATGATTTGGAAAAGAGAAGAGATAAAAGAAATACAAAGAATGATACATTTGGAGAATGCAAAGATAAAGGTGGAAATAGAGATTCAAAGAAGTTGAATTGTGGCGGAGGGAAGCTGTGGGTGGATGGGTGGAGTATTATATAATAAGTATGTAATATTTGCTTTCAGTGTTTTTGGATTGTTTTCAATCTTTTTTTCTTTCTGTGTTGTTGTTGTTGTTGTTTTGCTGTACCACTTACTTAACCAAAATAAATAAATAAAATTGGGGGGAGGGGAAAAATTGAGGCATTCCCTTTTCCCTCCTTGCATCAGTTAAAAAAACCACCATCTGTATCTCTAGAAAATACTCACGTATTGCAGTATCGAAATACCCCTCGGATGTCCACTTCCCGCACAGCAGCATTCACAATGGGCAACGTGACCATCTCAGGTCCTAGCCCCACCAGAACCAGAGTCCCTCCAGAACGTGTTGCCTGAAGACAAAAGGAGAGACCCAAAATAAATGCGCATCTCCAATCAAGGATGACATGAGAGGACTCTTTCCGTCTACTTGGGGAGAACTCTTTCTAGCCTTGCAAACTGGGACAAAGTCCGAGGTGAGGATCTTAGGGCAGCTTCGTCGGTGCAAACTAGCTTGTAAGAGAAACAGCAGCAGACGATGCATGCAAAAATCTCACCTAACCTCAGGAGGTTGGGGTCCCCTGGATAACTTTTTGAAGTTCTTAAATGACAGTGCTGTAAACAAAAAATTGCCCTTTTCCCTTATGGGGTATCCAAGAGCCCATATAGAGTCCTTACATAGGTTCCCTATTAGTAGAAGAGAATAACAGAGGCCAACCAGAGAATATTGAGAAGCAAAGCAGCTAGTAAGCTTGATGTTTATTGATCTGTTGCAACAGGGTGCTCCCCTCACCCGCAGGAGAGGAGGAGGAACCCAGAAAAATGGCCCGCGAGGCCTTATAAAGACTTTTGAAATTGCCACCCTGTAGATCAAGACCACCCCGAGAAACATCATACATACATCACAGAAGGGGTGTAACCTAAGACCACCCCTCAGATACATCATACCTACATCACAGAAAAGGCAGTCTAAACAGAAATTTGAATGTTGTTTTTCTCCTGTCCTTGTTTATCTCCTGTCTGGCAGGTTACTTGATTGGATTGCCTGGGGAGCCCGGCCAGTCTTTTGTAATGATAAATACTTAGTTCCTGGGCCAGGTCACAGGCTTACACCCTATTCAAACACAGACATACCCTTAAGACAGGATTTGTGAAGGAAAAGACAATGGGGAGGCTTTCCAACTTTGACCTCGCAGAGAAAACATTTGCTCAGTTTAGGAGTCAAAATGGCTTCAGGTCGGTCTTCCTGTGCTGATCTATGTATGTGCGGTTATGTACATTACCATATATCTAAGACCTCGAAATTCCTATCACAACAGGCAGCTTCATCACAGACAATACATTTGTCAGATGCTGTTATAAAGATCTCTCAGCATAAAAAGGATAATTTCCATGTGTGTTTTCTCTTATTTCCTCCAAAAGCAATAATCTCTACATTGCAAGGAAAAATTAATGCGGGTGAGCTAAGAGAGACTCACATATATTCCCGTCTGGATAGCGGCCTGGGCTCCGGTGCATTCCACCGTGATGTCAGGCATGCAACCAAGTGCTTGTTCCACCAGGTGGGCCACCTCCTCTGGGCTCTCACTCTTTATCTGGACTGCAAAATCAGCCCCAATTTCCTTAGCCTTTTCAAGGCGGGGAGCTGATAAATCTTTAGGGGGGTTGGAAAGACAAATAACAAAAACAATGGCAAGGATAGCATCAGAGCAGCATGCAGGTAACTGTGGATGTGCACACCCCATACATTTAAAGCACATAGGTAAAGGTAAAGGGACCCCTGACCATTAAGTCCAGTCATGGCTGACTGTGGGGATGCAGAACTCATCTTGCTTTACAGGCCAAGGGAACTGGCATTTGTCCGCTTCCGCAGACAGTTTTTCCGGGTCATGTAGCCAGCATGACTAAGCTGCTTCTGGCAAAACCAGAGCAGCGCATGGAAACGCCGTTTACCTTCCCGCTGGATGGGTACCTATTTATCTACTTGCACTTTGACATGCTTTTGAACTGCTAGGTTGGCAGGAGCTGGGACCGAACAACGGGAGCTCACCCCGTTGCGGGGATTTGAACCACCGACCTTTTGATCGGCAAGCCCAAGCGGCACAGTAGTTTAACCCACAGCGCCACCCATGTCCCTTTAAAGCACATGCCTTCCCCCAAAGGAACTGGGAACTATAATTTGTTAAGGGTGCTGAGAGTTGTAGGTCTGTATTCTGGGTTTCTGAAATAAGCCTTTGGTTTTTGAAGCTGGGCGAATCTTGGAAGTGGGTGAAGCGAGAGAGAGGACTGCATATGTAACTTGGACGTATGCAATGTGAAATGTGGCTGCGGCTTCTTATTCCCCCTGTTCCTTATCCTTTGGGTTGAGCAATTATTAACAAAACACAGAGTACAGAATCAAATCTGCTGATAAATTGTTCTTATCTTGTGCATATTTGAGCTTTGTACTGAAACATCATCTCACCTTTTGCTTTACAAGGTATTTTGACCCTAGCTGCATTTTCACCCCCACCCCACATGGGTTAATATATTTGCCAGCTTTGGATAATATTCAATGCATCTGACAAAGATGATAAGAACAACCTTCCTCAGTCAGGGAATAGGCCCACCTAATCCAGAACCCTTTTCCCACCAATGGTCGACCTTTTTTAAAGAACCACAAGACTTCTTGTAGTTGAGGCTTCAACCAAGACTTCAAATCAGTGAACTTCAATTTCATTGTTCTGCATGGGACAATGACAATAAAGATATCATATCGTATTTCTGAGCTTCCTGCTCTCTCCTCATGAAACCAAGAACACCAAGGAATTCTGCAAGAATAATCTGCAGGAATCCTGAAAAATGCTAATTGCTGCTAACTGGTCCTAGTTTGTAAATTATTATTCTGGGAGTTTGACTCTTCATGTGTAGATGAGACTGGCCACTGGCTTGCCTGATTCTGGTGATATGCACGAGTAGAAAATATTGAGATAACACCAAAGTTTTAATCAAACACTTTTGCTTTTTCCACAGTCTCTGAGAACTGGGCCTAACTGTCAAGGGGCAGTTAAGCACATTACACTTCATTTTTTCCTGGCACTTGCCATGACAACCCTAGTACTTAACGCCATGTAAACCCAGGGGATCAAAGTGAGTGTCATTACGGCACAAGGTGTCAAAGAGTTGGAAAATCTAACTTACCTGTTATCACCACTTGTGCAGCCCCCATTGCCTTAGCAATAAGCAAAGACACAAGTCCAATAGGTCCTGGAAGATGAGCAAAAGAAAAAATCAGGAAGTGTTCTACTACCCTTTGACATTTGTTTCCAGGTTGGTTTACAAGATGAAGAGCTTTCCTAATACATATTTTCCTAAGGATGTTGTCACGCTGCAGTTTGTGAGACTGCCAACAGGAGGCGCTGCAAACTGCACCCTGACAACAAACTGGGCCATTGCAACAGCACTGGGGGATGAAGAGGAGGGACTCAGGTGGGCGGGCAACCCAGGCCAGCAAGCAGAGGTTTGTCGAGGTCTATGGGGTGATTTTGGTGTGGAGTATGGGGAGGGGTGGCTTTAGTGAGGAGCAAACGTGGGTGGCTTGGGCAAGGGGGTTGCGGTAGTTGGGGTTAGCAAGCAAAGAAATCATGGGCGCAGCCATTAGCAAAACAAGAAAAATGGAATATAATTTTAAAGCACAATCCAAGGGTAGGGCCTTTTCTGTTGTGGAATGCCTTGCCATGTGAATCTATGAGGCCTCATCTCTATATTGCTTCAGGTAGTTGGTGAAGACCTGGCTCTTTTAAAATTCCTTCACTTAAGGCTGTCACTAGTTCAGTTCTTTGTTTACCTCATGCTGCTGGAATTGTTCAAACTGCTGGATACGGTTATGCTATTTTTTTTATTGTAGGAAGGGATATTTGAGGATGGTATTTGGTTTTACTGCTTTTAATTCTAACATGTTAAGAATGGGTGGTGCTGTGGGTTAAACCACAGAGCCTAGGACATGCCGATCAGAAGGTCAGCAGTTCGAATCCCCACGACAGGGTGAGCTCCCGTTGCTCAGTCCCTGCTCCTGCCAACCTAACAGTTCGAAAGCACGTCAAAGTGCAAGTAGATAAATAGGTACCGCTCTGGCAGGAAGGTAAACGGCGTTTCCGTGCGCTGCTCTGGTTCACCAGAAGCGGCTTAGTCATGCTGGCCACATGACCTGGAAGTTGTATGCCGGCTCCCTCGACCAATAAAGCGAGATGAGCGCCGCAACCCCAGAGTCGGCCATGACTGGACCTAATGGTCAGGGGTCCCTTTACCTTTATGTTAAGAATAAGTGCATAAAGCAGCAATAATACAGCAGCTGAAATAGTTTAAAAGGCCTGGGAGAATAAAAAGTTCTTTGTCTAGGGACAAATATACAGTAGTGTTAGGTACCCAGTGAGCCCCGGAAAAACTGTCTGCGGACAAACGCCGGCTCCCTTGGCCAGTAAAGTGAGATGAGCGCTGCAACCTCAGAGTTGTTTGCGACTGGACTTAACTGTCAGGGGTCCCTTTACCTTTAAAATAATCACCAGCGGGATTCTCTGTACCAGCCCAAGGGTAAAGGTAAAGGTAAAGGTAAAGGGACCCCTGTCCATTAGGTCCAGTCATGACTGACTCTGGGGTTGCGGCGCTCATCTCGCTTTATTGGCTGAGGGAGCCTGCGTACAGCTTCCGGGTCATGTGGCCAGCATGACTAAGCCGCTTCTGGCAAACCAGAGCAGCGCACGGAAACACCGTTTACCTTCCCGCCAGAGCAGTACCTATTTATCTACTTGCACTTTGACATGCTTTCAAACTGCTAGGCTGGCAGGAGCAGGGACCGAGCAACGGGAGCTCACCCTGTCGCAGGGATTCGAACCGCCAACCTTCTGATCGGCAAGTCCTACATATCCCCATGTGAACATTATGCACTGCCCACTGGACTCGGAGATGGCTACTTAGCTTGGAAAAACAGCAAAACAGGGTATTCCATACCAGCACCACAAATTAAGACCTTGCTTCCCAGAGTCACTCCGGCTCTTCGGCAGGCGTGGATTCCCACAGAAAGAGGTTCGATGAGGGCACCTTCCTCATAGGTCACATTGTCTGGAAGTCTGCAGCAAGACAAGGCAAAGAAACATGTCACACACAAAAATCAGAATGGTAATGGAAGAAAGTTATGATCTACCGCAGTGGTTCACAACTGATGGTCCGTGGACCCCGGTGGGTCTGCATAACCCACCCAGGGGGTTGGCGGCCCCCCTGTAAAGTGTCTTAAGCATCCCATGGCAGGGAAGGGCAGGAGCCTGGTGTCGGGATTGTGGCCCCTGGATCTGGGGGAAGGGCTGCTCAGCTCAGTCACCTTTGGTAGATGGGGGCTGCTATCTCTCCTGCCATGGCTGCAGCCCCTCCTGCAGTGGCCTTGGGGCCACGTGGGAAAAGTGAGCAGGTGGGTCGCTCCTAGAAGGTACCTTTCATACTGGCACACAGCTTGGCTTTTCGAAAACAGGCAGTCAGCAGTACTTGGCTAACTGGGAACCACTGATCTACTGAATCAGAAACACCAGTAGAGAGGCAGATTCCAGAATAACAAATATCCTCCCAAGTCCATTTAGACCCGGTCAAAGTTCCCACCTCTGCTTTGAAATGTCATCCTATAATAACTTGGATTTGGCCTATTAACCTTAGAACTGCTGAAGCATAGCTGTTAAGTGTCTAAAGAAAGAGCAAAATTCCTTACTGCAAATTTTGACAAACGCATTGCTTGTGACCTCCCAAGTTGGCCAGTGGGCCTTGAAATTCACAAGTTAGTCTACTCATCTAAGGAGGGCAGAGTTGTTGGGGGTTTTTTGGTCCCTTCAACACTGGCTAAAGCTTTGTTTTTCTGAGGAAGGAGGTGAGAAGCCGTTGGGTAAGGATCCATTATCCTCCCATTCATTACCAGCTGTTAGAGGCCCTGAGAGGGGCACAGGGGTCTCCTAATGGTTTTCAGCACCCTTAAGAAACTACTTTGGGGGAAGCCATGACTGTTTAAAGTAGCACGATACTGCTTTAAATGTATAGTACAGATGGGGCCTGAGTAAGATTAGCATAGTACCATATTTTGGGATTCCTTTACTCTAGAACTCATGATAAATATTTAGAAGACATAACTGAACTAATACAAAAATGTGTATCTATGACTGAAGACCCTTGGCAAAGAAAGGGGAACAGAAAGCCGCCACCCCCCAAAAAAGTATATTCGTGAGAACACTGTATTTTCAGCATTTATATAAATGGGATTCTCTGCATAATCCCAAAACACACAGTGCCCACCATAATTAGTAATGGCGTACAATGGTCTTGTTGAGTTGCTTCAAGTCTAAAGTGCAACATTTAAAAGAATGATCTGTCAGATATCAATGAGAGAGGCCATAAAAGCTGATAGGAATTCTTAAATATCACCTGAATTAGAACTAAAAACAAGAAAGCACCTGCAAAAATCACACTCAATTTTCCCTATTCACTTGTTAGGTTAAGATACTGTTTCCCATTTTATTTGTCACCCCAGTCATGGTATTGTATAGTCTAGATATGCAAGATCAAGACTTCCGGACCAGCAGACTTCTGGACTTCAAGATCAGCAATAACATTTTGCGCAAAACCACACTCAGTGGAGAAAATCCCTTTGGCTAGCATGTGTTCCCATAACAGGTATTTGCAACTAACTTGTAGCAAAAGTTTGCATCGTGCTTGTAATAGCGGCACAGGTTCCCATCATCAGGAGGAGTTGCACAGAAGAAGATGCTTGGGGACAGGTTGTATCGGCCAGTTTTGCAGAATTCATCTGTTTCTCGGGGAACTCCAGGCTCAATAGCCACTCGGTCACCTGGGACACATCAAGGATGCAACAAGATAAGAGACTGGACTAATTGTCATGTAAAGAGGTGACCTGTGTCTTGGAATCAGAGATCAGACTGCAACGGCCTTGGTCCAGTATATCTGAAGGAGCGTCTCCACCCCCATCGTTCTACCCGGACACTGAGGTCCAGCTCTGAGGGCCTTCTGGCGGTTCCCTCACTGCGAGAAGCTAAGTTACAGGGAGCCAGGCAGAGAGCCTTCTCAGTAGTGGCGCCCGCCCTGTGGAATGCCCTCCCACCAGATGTCAAAGAGAACAACAACTACCAGACTTTTAGAAGACATCTGAAGGCAGCCCTGTTTAGGGAAGCTTTTAATGTTTGATGTTTTAGAGTATTTTAATATTCTTTTGGAAGCCACCCAGAGTGGCTGGGGAAGCCCAGCGGGGCGGGGTATAACTAATGAATTATTATTATTATTATTATTATTATTACTATAGCACAAAATATATCAAAACATACTAGGAAATCACATTTTCAGACAATGCAGCTTAACATCCTAGCATCCGTAGGTGAATTCCAAGCCATTTTCACACATATTATCTCAGTAAAACTTCCAATAGCCCCTGTGCCAGGACCATTACAGTGGTACCTCTGGTTATGAGTTTAATTCATTCCAGAGGTCCGTTCTTAAGCTGAAACAGTTCTTATCCTGAGGCGCGCTTTAGCTAATGGGGCCTCCCGTTGCGAGCACACCTCTGACGCATGATTTCCGTTCACATCCTGGGGCAAAGTTCACAACCAGGAGCAGCTACTTCCGGGTTAGCGGAGCTCGTAACCTGAAGCATTCGTAACCAGAAGTGTTCGAAACCAGAGGTACCACTGTACCTTTATATTTCAGGTGATGTGGCTTAGATAATAATCGAATGCTTAAGGTCACCTAGTGAGTACATGGTACAAGTCAGTGAGATTTTAAGTGAGCACAGGGATGGGGAACCGATCACCCTCCAGATGTTGTTGGACTCCAACTTGCATTGGTGAACGTGGCCAATGGTCAAGGTAGATGAGAGTTGTAGCTCATCAACATCTGGAGGGCTATATGTTCTCCATTGTAATATTAAAACATTCAAATCAGGTTTCCATCAGTTCCAAACTCAGGTGGCGGATGTCTGACAAAGATTTTCCTTTGAGGATTTCTGACATTTCATCCAAACACAAAAGTTTAGGATCAGAACTTTCCTTCTCCTAAATGGGCTACCTTCCCAGGTTGACAAGCCTCACCTGCCCCTTACTTCCCACTACAGCATGCGCAGAAACCGCCTTCTTGACCGTTGGACCCACTATGGCCTCGTCTGCTCAATCTGACAGAGCCTGTTTTCACATGCAGGGGAAGTCCCTAACTCACTGAAGGTCCGAGACCCATCAACTACCCTCACATGGTTCAACTGGCCAATCAAAGCCGTTTCCAGGAGCCACAGGTGAGAGCTGAGTGCAGGGTGGGGACCAAAGGTGGACAAATGACCCCAGGAGGAGTATGACATGTCCCCCACCAGAGGTCCTACCTCTTCCCTAACACCACATGCACCCCACAAAAGACATTAATATATCTTAGAGATCTCACCAGCCATCAAAAGGAGGTATGTAATCACCATGGTCACTTTGATCTGTGGATGAAGGTCTGTTTATGGTGCCACAAGCACCACATTGCATGCTGGGATTTGGTCATGTGCTTGTAGTGCTGTGGCACCATTCCTCTGGAATTCTTTTCCATTAGAAGTGAAGGCCCAACATAGTCGTGCTTTCAATGTTCCATTTTTTTCCCTATCTCTCTAGTCTCCCTAAATTCACCGGTTTTATTTCTGAAGTTTTAAATGCTTGTTGCTTTTTATGT